AATTATTTGTTATAAACACGAGGAATTCAGTAAATACAGGAAGACTTTGCATCTATAACATTCTTATTGTATTTAATTTTTATAGTTTTTGGGTGTAATAATAAAGTAAACAGATGATTTATAATCCTTAATCTCTATATTTTTATGTTCATACATTAATAGTATAGGCAAACTACATAACTGAGTTCTAACCCACCTTTACGTTTTGATTTATGAACCCCTAGTCTAGTAAGATACTCAAAGTTGGATCGCCACACCTCATAATGAGTAGGAACAGTTTTATATTCATGAATCTTAGCTTTATTTTAAACAAGAAACCTTTCGTATATTATTTAATGATGCAAACTTCTACGTAGCGTATAGGATAGGCGAGGTGTGGACTCAATCTTCTTGTCTACCTTTTTTGTACTTTGCTTTGCCCTCAACAGTAGCTTATATGTAGGGCCCGGATAAATATTTATTAAAAAATCTAAAATATGTACATAAAATATGGACGGAAAAATCAAAAATATGGAGTATAAAATTAAATACTTTCATAATTAAACATTGTTTTACTATAAGAAAAGGGTCACTCGTGACGTACATCGTTAAGTTACATTTAAAAAACGATGAAAAAAAGTAGCGAAATATTTATTTCAACAAAAAATAACAGTTTTATTTAACTTCCATTACACTAGCCTTATCAAATTGGTTGCAATACACAATGTCGCGCTTCTTTACATTATCAAAATGAAGACTGACCATTTGGTCGACACATAGCATTACATCTGCTTATTGATCTCATCTCAAGTCACTGACGTGATGGATGCATACTTAGACGTGCTTAATTGTGTAAGCCACGTCTACAGCCCTCGAAACTTTCGCACAGAATTTTGTTAATTTTTTTAGCGTATTATATCCTTTATTTCATCCAAAATATTAGTGGCAGGAACGTAAATTTTATGTATTTTTGTGAATATATGGATGATTGTGACATTTTCTTGTAAAATATGGACTTAACTTTGAAATATGGTAAAATATGGAAAATAAAAGTTGGTTTCTCACAGTCTAAACAATACAGTCCATGTAAAAAACACATTCTAGACCGAACATCGCGTAAATTAAAAATATGTATTTACATATTAATCCGGGTCCTACTTATATGTATAACAGATAACACACATTTTATCATTTTCTTCAAATTAAAATACAATATTTTGTAAAGTTTAATTTATACTTTGAAAAAGGTTGGATAAAATCTCCATAACAGTGACTGCAAGATGTATTTTGAGAATTGATCTTTGGTGAAAACTGATGTAGTGACGAGACTTTACTAAAGTTTCAATTCTGTCTTTATATAAACTTATACTATGTATATGTAAAAAAAACATTATAACCGAATTTTGTCTAAAATTCTTTCTGTATTACATATTGTTGGACCCATGTCTATTTTACTATTCAGGAATCCAAGATTCACTTATTTACGTAAATACTTATGCAAGGGTAACTTTTTGGGGAATGTTTCTGTAATTTTTGAGTTATATGCTTGTGACCAATATGAATGCTAGTAATTGTTTTGTAAAAGTCAAGGCACAAAAAAAGTATTTTTTCCAATACGTCGTTGGTTTTCACGACATGTAAAAAATTCCCCACTTTCACATTCGGTCTAAAGGTCATCTAAAGGTCCAGTATTTCCAAAACATTTAAGACCATTGATTCTTAAAGCTGTTAAGCCCGTGAATTTCATTTTCCTTTGTCTTAGTTTGAATGAAAGATAAGCCTTTTATGGCTGTATGCATTTTTGTAATCTAAAAGAATATATTTTTTTAAGACTTAATAAAGTACTATAGGATAATATTATCATGATCATATATGTAGAACGACCATATCCAATTTGATTTTTAAGAGCTGTGGTGTCAGCAATGCTGCCGTTACTATAACTCTAAACAATTGGGTTATCCGTTTAACAAATAAAGCACTCAAACTGACATACAATACTTTATTTAAAACTATAACTAACACTTGTTTTGAGATAAGCTCACACTACTGTCCACAATTAACATATTCGAATATAAATGTTTTTTGTGAATTCAAAACATATACATACTCTTTTCATTTTAAATTTAACGTTACGATGAATAATCACAAATCATTTGATAAGTTTTAATAATCATTAATCAATTATTAAATGAGCATTGAATACAAGTTGGTTACTATTAAGTATTTAAGTTATTGTTTAACTAAAACTTAAAGAATGACTAAGCTTCACATATTAGAAATCACAATACTGATTAGGGGGTATTAAAATTGCGTAATATTTGCTGAGGGAGGGGGGCTCCCTCCAATATAAGATTAGGTGAGATTTAACTCGATTTCCTCCCCCCCTAAAACATCTCACGTATTTTATAAACGCTTCCTTATCATTAACTGTTCTTTTAAAAAAATCACATAGCGATAGTTATAACAAATAATGTCGTTAAAAAATTAACTAACACCATGACATTGATATAACACATTACCCTATAAAATAAAATGCTTATGAAACAACTATCCCTTATAAATGGCAATGAATGTTATTTCGGCGACATATTTATTAATAACTATATATATACTCAGAAATTTAAATAAAACGAAATACTGAGGCCTATCATTTAGATCTAAAAAAATATCAAAATAAAAAACATTTGCTAATACTTAGTAACGACGAAATTAAGAAACTAAAGAAATAAAACTATATCCCATAAAGAACATATATGTATTATGTATTGAAGAGGTATTTTGTGCAAGTATAATTAAGTATTTAGAGAAATCTTCGGTATTTGGAATAATGTAGTGTGCTTAGTTTAGTTTAATGTTGCAGAGGATTATTATTATGTCTTCTTCTTCTACCTGGCTATTTCCCAGATTTGGCCAGGGTCTGCCTTACCAGTTGTGAATTTTGGCTAATTGTTTTTATGACCGGCCGCTTGCCTGACATCAACCCTCTTTGGGAATGCATTAATCAGTGATGTCTAAATACTCTCAGAAAGTACATATGACTCGGAAAAATCACATTGGTACTTGCCAGAATCGAACCCGAGCCCTCATGAATGAAATTTGGGCCTCTTAACCACTAGGCCACCACTGACTGTTATTATGTATGATATTAAATAATAACACAAAGATACTTAACAATATATTAACAATATATTACTTAACAATATATTACTTAAAATTTATTGGATGCAAATACCAGCTAAAAATCAGCGATTTATGGACAATTATTAATACTAGTTGAATTTCTGCATGTATTAAATCAAGCTTGAGGTAAAAGGATAATTGAATATAATTCCATTTAGTATTAAGTGCATGTTGCTACTTATTTATCATATGTACAATTTACTATAGTCTTGGAAAGTCTTCCTACAACTCAGAGTCCTTTGTAATATATATTTTTTAAACTTAAAATCTTAAGTTTCTAAAAAATTCACACTTTATAACGAAATTTATATAAAAAAACTTGGTAATGTTTTACGCAAATATAGAATTTGCTCTTATATCTTGGAATAAAAATCTCTTCATAAAAATACATTTACTCCAAGGACTATAGGTACTTAAAGAAGACCATTTACTTCCTAATGACTGTAAAAACCATTTCTAATTCTGCTATAAAGAAACAATTATTCAAACATTTATAAAATAATTCCGTGTTCTTAAATTATGAATAGTTGTGAAATAAATTATCATATGTTTTCAGCAAAATTATCTGACCTTTAAACACGATATATTAATACGTTAGATTTTAAAAAGAGCAATAAAATATTATTATTCGATGATAAATTTTCCAATAATCTACAAACTTCTGTTGTACCGAAGTAAATGAATATTACCATCATAAAAACAAATACCTATATTGTGTGTTGTAAAATGTTATCTATTAATAAATTGTACGTTTACAATCGTTCAAAAACTAGATATCTTATATAATAAATAATATAAATTAGAATATATGAACAAATTATTCATGTTAATGCAAATTGCAAATTCAAGCAAGTTTTAATTCTATGCAAATATCTTGAATGTATATTACCTATTGACAAAGAAATATACAATGTTAAGTACAAGTTTGCGTCGGAAAATATACGAACAGTTTCTTATACAATAAACACTACGTTATATGAATTCATCAAAGTCATCAAAAAAATTCATGTTTACACATGAAAATCTTATCTATAAGTATGTAGTGAGTTTGCTTGCTTGTAGTAAGCATAATAAACAGTTTTTGTAACGTTTTTCCGTTACTTACTGTCATATAAAAGCACGAATATTAAGAAACGGTCATAAATAAATCAGTGGGAGCCTAGTGGTTAAAAAGCCCGCCTCTCATGCACGAGGGCGCGGGTTCGATCCGGGCCTAGACAAGTACCAATGTGATTTTTCCAAACCATATGTACTTTCTCAGAGTATTCAGACACCACTGACTGACGGTAAAGGAAAAATCGTGAGGAAACCTGGACTTATAATTTCACAATTGTAAGTTTGAAATCACCAACCCGTCTTGAGCAAGCGTGATGATTAATGCTCATACTTCTTCATGTGAGGCCTTTGCTCAGTAGTGGGCTCTGATAGACTGATGACATAAATATACATGACTATTAAATTCATAGATCAGGTGCTACTTAAACAAATAGTCAAAATGAAACTTAATTATTTTTAAATAAAAGTAGTAATTAAAACGCAACGAAATACAAATAAATACTCGTACTATGACAATTAGATTAGCAAAATCCTTCCCGTTTTAGCAAATATGCGTTGGATTATATTCTTTAACGATAACAAAATACTACGCTGAATTATTGGCTACAATATCAAAAACTACATCAGATAAGACAATTGTCAGTATATAAAGCAAAAAAAATATTAGTCTATTATAGTTTTATTGATAGAACACAACTAAGGTAACTATTGATATTTTTCTCAGTATACTTTAATAAAATATTTTTTGGTCATTATTAATAATTTCTTATATACCTATAGCCAATATGAAAATCTTGTTGATCGCTGCCCTCATTGCTGTGGCTACGGCCAGCCCAGCTCGCTTGATCGTCCCTGGACCTGCGGGGCCCGAACCCATCGTTGATGAAAACGGTAGCCCCATTGATGTAGGACCAGTCATTGTTGACGAAGACTCCCCCATCGACGTCGGACCCGTCATCATTGACGAAGACTCTCCCATTGACGTTGGACCCGTCATCATTGACGAAGACTCTCCCATTGACGTTGGACCCGTCATCATTGACGAAGACTCCCCAATCGACGTTGGACCCGTCATCATTGACGAAGACTCCCCAATCGACGTTGGACCCGTCATCATTGACGAAGACTCCCCCATCGACGTTGGACCCGTCATCATTGACGACTCATCCGTAGGACCCTCTCCTTCAGTGTCCCCTCTGGTCCAGATCATCATCAACGTCAACTCTGACGCTAACAAACCTCAGCCAGGCCCAGTCATCGATGACGAAAGTGATGACCACATTCCTGACCAGCCCGTTATCATCGTCGACGAACCTGAAATCATCGAAGAGCCTGTTGTTCCTGAGGAAGTTATTGTTGTCCCTGTTGACGTCAACCCCATCGAAGTTCTCCCAGACACCCTGAACTAAACATATTGTAAAAACAAAATAACCAAACAACAACAAACAAAACCTTTGTAATAGAAGACTCGAAGTCCATCAATGATGATACCAAAGTACAAATTACCGTCATTTTTGATCCTGTCTTCTAAGCATAAATCATCTACCCCATAAATCAACTTTTCTCTTAGGTGATATTTTAAATGTATTAAGTTTGTTTATGTATTCAAGTATTAAGTAAAATAAATATAATTGAAGTATTAATATTTATTTGTTCTAATAATCATATAAATAAAAGAAATGTACTTCAACCGGTACTTAACTGGAAAAATAGAATCGTCATTCGCTACAACGATAATTTGCGTGAAAGACCTTCAAGACCAGCGTATCTTAAGAAAGTTATAACATTATTAATAAACACCAATAAAAGTATTAACACCTTGTTATTAATTAAATTGCTAATAACAAGGCTTCCGCTATATGACAATTCTTTTAAGAATAAGTTATTCTAATTGATAAATTAATTTCAAATGAAGTAAGAAAAGCTAGACTTAGAAGTTTCAGTCATCTAAAACATTGAATAAAACAAATACAAAATAAGTATGTTACATAGCTCATTATAGAATATGTAGTTAAAGTATGTTTCAGTTAATCATATTATTTGTCTTTTAATTCCTACAGTTTTTAATTTTCCGTCAAGTTTACCAATTCACATTCGTGATCAGAAATTTATTATTTTTGTACATATGTGTTGGTTACCAGCCATCTTCCCTTTTAAAATTTAACGCCCGTTCTTGTTGATTTGGTAATTCATCTTTAACAGCTTTATTTGAAATGAAATTGGCGTCTAATAATGAGACACAGAGTGCATACCTACCCACACGAAGCTTTGCTGTAAAAATTATCAAATAGTATGCTCTATAAAGGGCAAATAATATGGTTCTGATATTAAAAAATAACATACAAACCAAAGTAGACCTTATATTTGACTAGGAACTAAATTTGACTTTATGATTATATGATAACCAACTACATGATCTATTTTATGAATGCCTTCTTTTTAATTAGATAGTAGATACTTCTACGTGTCTTTTACATTGAAAGTGGTTAACGGGGGCTTGTATTTAAAACGGGTATTAAAATACGTTGTTGATCTTTTAAAAGTACAAAGAATCTATCACCATGTCCTCCACGCTCGACAAGAATGACGGTCTCGTAGCTGATCGAGTGATGTGTCTTTATTAATCCTATGATTAATCTGTTTAAATGTCTCTACAACATAGAATATTATAAACCAGACAAACAACAAAAACGAAAAGGGCAAACTGTGTCCAAGACACATCTGTGTCCCATTAAAAACAATTTTTTTGATACGGATCAGGCAAAAGCTGTATATATTTTATAATAGCACTATAGCCAATCTTCATTTCTGCACTTACTCGTAGATAGGTGCAGGTGAAGACGAATGTGTGATTCACCAGTCTGACTGGCTGAAATATCCATAAAAAGCAGCTTTAATCGTTTTTCAAAATGACTAGATAGTGTTTGACTCTCACTCCACCCGTGGGTAGGAGGAAATGAAGTTGTACGCGCTAATCGCACTTTCGCAGCCAATGCAGTGTACTCGTATGTAGATTTAAAGACACCCAAACTTCAAAGGACAATTTGATAGGAAACGAAGCTGCATCTTGCAGGCAAAATGTTTTGATTCTTTGCTATGCGCATAAGAAAGACTTACCATTAACTAACATGGAGAAGCACCATTAATATGGTAGTCTGATGGTAAAACGACAAAAAGCGGTTAAAATTTTGTAATTGCCGTGTACACTCTCCAAAGAGCTTTCTTCTTGACACACCAAGAAAAGATAACAGATATTCTCCTTGTTCTAATAGTAGAATAAATGTTGCCCTCTCCTTTATCGTATGAGTCAATATACCATCGGATTTAGTTATAGGAGTTCTCTTTTTTCAGTAAGGCCTCTTTTCCTCAAAGTCCTAATGAAGAGCCAATTTATGACGACTGCAGTGACGGTCAAAGGAATACAAAACTTTTCACAAAGCAAAGTACTCACAATTAGCTTCCAGATCGTACCCAATTTGTTATATTATTGTAATTTACTGTTTTATTTAAAGCTCCTTAAAGATTTGCCTTTTGCCAATAATACCGTCGCTTTGCATGGAAATATAGGCACTACAAAATTTATTACTTTCAAGGTTGGCTAAACCGTCATGTTTATTTACAAATTGTCGTATACAAAATATTATATAAAAATATTTTTTCTGTTAAGTTATTCTAGTAGTCTGAAGTGGTATTTTTTTACATAGGCTTTCCATTGATAAATTCGGGAAAATCTTTTCTCTTCCTGGTTGTTGAAACGTATGCAATACGTATAATAATGTATGCATTATTTGTAGTTTATTTTTAAAATATTGCTCCTATATCTTGAGTCTGAGTAATTAGAGCTAAATACAAAAGTTTACTTTTAATGTAATTTTATATATTTTTTTACATTTTCATCGATCATTGTTCTTCAAAATTCACTATATTGATTGAGTTACAGTTGATTTTGCTTAAAGTGTCACTTGCACAAAAGTTTATTAGCAAAATACTCAAACTTATAAAAAATATAAGCAGGAGTAGATAGTGTTTGCGCTTATGTCTACTATTTTTCTACAACAAATTATGATTATACGTCCCTTCCAATATTTTGGAAAGTAAGAGCTCATAACGTATTTTTGTAACATTTTAAATAAAATATTAGAAATATATTTACTCTTTATTTATTGCAATCATAAAGCGATGTCAAATTTGTGTAATTAATAATAATTTAGTTAAGTTGGTCGGGGAGAACTTGAGCATTGTCAGGTTCAATGATAATGGGGTCCACGTTGATGACGTCCTCGGGCTTGATCTCAGGATTTTGGGGAGCTTTAACGTTGATAATAATTTGGACGAGGGGAGAGCTAGGTGCGGGTATTTCATTTTCATCAATGATAACAGGACCAACATCGATAGGAGAGTCTTCGTCAATGATGACGGGGCCTACATCGATGGGAGAATCTTCATCAATGATGACTGGGCCTACGTCGATGGGAGAATCTTCATCTATGATGACTGGGCCTACGTCGATGGGAGAATCTTCATCTATGATGACTGGGCCTACGTCGATGGGAGAGTCAGCCTCTGGTTTCTTGGCCACAGCCACAGCGACAACAGCAAGGAACACGATGAGGAACTTCATTTTTAAATCTGTCAACAAATACATAATATATATTTAGGGAACACACTTTTTATTCGAACCGAACCTTTATATTCCCGAACGCATCCGAAGTGATATTATAGCGATGACGCTTGGCTTGTTTTCTTTTAACGCGGGAAAGTATGTTGTGAACACGACTCATATTATTGTAAATAGAATTTAACTCATTTAAGGTGTTTTAGCATAAGATAATAATTAGTTTGCTCTAGTTAAGGTTCTATTGTTATTTAAAAGTACTGGCTTTATAAGAAAACGATATTTTTATAAAGATTTTGTTAGAATCCTAAATATATCATATTAAGCAAAAAATTTATGTGTTAAATAAAAGCAGTAAATACTTACGTTTGTTCTGCGATCAATGATGTTCATCTAGATTTTTGTATGGTTTTTATACTAAAATTCATATCACATTTGACAATAATAATGTGTAAATCTAATCAGTATTACTTAATATTTATTACAATGGAACTTTCTTGATATAAAGTGCATCATAAATTAAAAATAAGGAAAACAGTATGGAAGATACGTACCTACGTCATTTTAATATTTTTTGTGCTTATATTTTTTACGGTCTTGTTTAGAAAATAATTACTATCTGAATATATTTGTTTAAATCCTAAAATATTGGTTACATTACATTCGAATAAATAATATTAAAAAATATTTTTTTCTAATACTAACATTTGCTTTAAATGTAAAGTTGTTGGAGCATTCATTAAATTTCAAACGTATGAAGTTTGTTATTTTTTTTTTTAGTTCATACTCGACGCCATTTTTTTGCTTTTTTTAAGATGATGCTAAAATAATAGTAGTATATTTTTATTATAATAGATATTACTTGATAGACGCATGCAAAAATATTAGTTCTATACGCAATCAAGCAAAGATATTATTTATTGGTGCATTAGTATTGCTGGTGGCTTAAATGCTATTAAGATAAAAAGGAAAATATCGAAATATTTATTATATTTGATAAAATGTCATTGCACATTTAAATAAGGATAAAATGCAAAACTAAACATTATTGGAGGATCAAATTAAAAAACCGTATAAGGTAATACATATAAATATTCTTTTATATTGAAATCAATTATACTTCATGTAATAATACATTAGCAAGGTCAGCTTCCTAAACAAGATAATAATTTTGATTACACTTCTCTATTGTAAGCCTATAAAAGTATATTACCAATAATCATTAGAAAAGCGATATTTTCTTATGAACCTTCAAGCTTTTATTACGAATTTAAGAAGGAATGTTCCACACGAAATTAACAAACTGCCTAAGAAATTTGGCATTTGATATTAAACAATGACAATAACAAAATTAATAATATGAACGAAACAGTAAAAGTTTAATAATATGATAAAATGTATAAATCTTCATATAAAAGAACCTGTTTTACTAATTACTATTTACATACCTACCTGTTATCCTTAAGTTACTTTGTTATATGAAATAAATCACAAAACACATACTTAAACTAAGAATTTATAATAAAAGTTGTGTATTGTGGAACTTCAAAAAATACCTTTTGCAGCAGTTTAGGAAATTAATCCTCTTGAAAATAATTGAATCACCGTCAAAGATCTTGGGTGAAATGAAAACATAATGAAAAGATTTGAAAAAAAATATTGAGTAAACTAGAAGCTTTTACAGTGTAAAAAAAACTGAAAAAAATATCCACACTGATCTCTAACGCGATGTTAGCTTCTATAATTTTATGCAAATACCAATACGACTTATGTAAAAAAAAAAAATACAAATATGATGACATTGCACAGTAATTTCGAATTTGCATAAGTATCTAATTTTCTTTTTCTTTGAAGCATTGTAGCTTAATGCTATAGCAAAATGCAATAGTACAAATGCGTTAAATTATGTAAGTAAAGACAAGAAACTAACTGTTATTGTATATCTATTAAATATAATTCGATGACGAAATATATATTTACTTTTACTATAATAAGAAAATTGAAAGTAAATATGAGAAAACATAACTTTATTTTGATGAGAATATCCCTGAAGAAAGGCTGAGTCAAATTAGATATTTCCATATGAAAAAGATGTTAAAATAATACAAGCTGGACTTAAGCTCCATGTTAACAAAGTTGATAAAAATGATGAACATTATATCAAAAAACAGTCAAGGGAAATATAATAAAGAAAGCCTCTATAACACATTAAGCTTGACTTATATTAATTTCTCATAGTTTCAGAAAGTCGCGAAAAAACCTACTTGTACTAACAAAGCGGCGGCATACTACCACGTTGTAGGGCTCAACGACTTCAGCGACCCTAAATTAAATGACGACCACTGACGGCACTTGAATAGACCATCGACAGTTGTACCTAGCAGATTATGAATCTTCTGATGCCTAAGGATATGATAGCAAGTGGGTATTGGGTAATATATTGTTAGACATAATGTTTCTTTTAATCGTTCAACATATACATAATATATAGAAATTTTAATCAGACCTACTAATGTGACCTTAAGTTTAACGTGAGTTTTGAAACAATCAATAATAATAACTAAGCAAGGATAAAAGGAATAGCTGTGAATAACACATTAGGCAACTCTATATTACGATGTTGTATCATATTAGTATAATTCAATATTAGCAAAAGGAGATGGTGCAATTTTTGATTATGATTTAATCTGAGAAAATATCTGTGGGGAAAGTGACAGTTTACGTCATTGTCATTATTATTACCTTTTAAAATATATACGGACCAGTACGGACCAATAAGGATTCGAAATACCTCAGCTACTATTTTAGAAACTTAATCAAAATCTGTTCTATATCTACAATTAAATTCGACTTATTACAAGAAAATTAATTTTAAATTCCTGCATTTAAATAAAAACAGTTGGGAAACAATTCAAAAATAAACTAAATTAGCTGGTTTTTAAGTTCTGACTGATCGCTAAATGTTTTTATATATTACGTGGAAATTCACTGACTAACTTAATGTTGATCTATAAGATATTTTTAATACGACATATTATAAAGAATTTGCCGTTTCTCATTCTATAATTGAATTCATAACGTGCAACGATTTATAAATTAAAAATTGTTATAGGTAAATGCGTCACTATTATAATGTTGCAAACTTGTGTTAAATATTCGGCTAAAATAACAATTTCATTTCGAAGCGACGGTTCCCTTAATTGTTAAAAATATTTACATACATCTGTGTATTATATAATAGTGAAACGAATATTTAAAACATTAGAACTGCCAAGAATTACATGATTGTATTATTGGAGGAGGGAAGTATAAAAATAGTTTATTCTCGTATGATCAGTACATGTATTTCTAAAACGTCAGTCCATTCTTATTCTAATCGCTAGTTTAAGATAACCTCTACCATCGTAATCTCATTTTCTAAGCACGATACAATTCAAACTCTTGTATTGGTATTCAAAAAGTTTTCCCGTACGACGATATTGTCTTGATAATCGTACTTAAGATATTTTTAAGAAATATTTAAAATCTAATTTTAATACATTGGAATATGGGATATAAAAATATGAGCAAGTAGATTTTATCCTTTTATTTATGGCATGGTTCAAATATAAAAAATGTGGGTCTAAACATAAAGATTAGTAAATAGACTATAATATGTTTACTTTTTTTATGTTTTAAAGTAAACTTAAATTAAACTGAATGAGACTAAAGTTTTCGGATAAAGTACGAGTCCTTTATAATTTTTAATCTCACTAAAAAAAACATACGTTATCTGTATTCTGTTAAGGACTTCGTAATATTACATATGACGAGTAGGTATACTACATATAATATATTGAGTAACCTCATTTATTATTATTCATTACATGCTTCTAGAATTATCTGATATATAAGTTAATCGCATTATACATATACTATAAACATAGGGAAAATAAATAAATGACGAACAGTGTATAGGGCCCGCCTTCCACACTTTCTTAGGTCCGATCAGCTGCCAACTCCTTTGCAAAATGTTTCACATTTAGTAGATATATTGTTTATTTTCATTCATCATCACATATTTTTTGTACCGAAGTCTAGCAAATTCTGTATTACAGATGGAATTATATGGTAATCGGTTGTAAATTCAAATTAGATAACACGATTAAACATACATAAGATTATTACATTTTTATGCTAAGTACCGTATTTATTTGATGTTTTGAAAAAGGGTTTTAAGTTATAATACGATTTTTAAGATTGGCTTCTATTGTAATTTTTTTAAGTGGCTAGTAACATAGTCTTAGAATAATATTAGTTTTATACTAAACATGAATTCTTTAACATTTTAAAGAGATTACGAATAACATTTAACTGTAACAATTTTCCTATTAAACCATTTCTACCAATGCAAAGGCTAGAATGATAGTCATGCATTATCTAGTAGCAATTTAAAAAAAAGTTATAAAATCAGTTTATATGAAAGGAAAATCGAGTTTGACAGAGACTAATTTTAATAATTCCAAGTATGAATATAATTTAAACGTAATAATAATAGTAATTTTAATATGATATGACGAGTGACTGACTGACGTCTGTTGTATGAGCCGTGTTACATGAGACACAGTACCATTAAATAAATCTCAATATCTTCATAAATAATATGTATTTGAATAATTCAATATTTTTATCCGTTTGAATAAGGTAAAATTTTTGATATTTTTACTAGTCTAAATATATCGGTATTGTTTGTATGTTAGGGGAAAAATTTACATTTTAGTTTGTATTTTTCCCTTTCTATAACTGGGCTCTAAACTATAATCAATTAAATATTGGACCTATATAATAATTTTATTGTTATTCTAATAAATTTTTAATAACTCATTATTTTATTTATTTCCAGTTATGTACCTAATGATTAAGTTAATATAAGTACATATTTATTGTATTTTTTCTAGAACTTTCATTTCCGCATACAAGAAAGAAGATAGAAGAGAATTAAATTAGATCATTGAATTTTTAATTTTTATTTCTATGAAATCCACGTGTGACTATCATGAATCATTTTTATCAGTTATCAATGTAGTAACGACATCCGACATCTGTCTTAGCTTACCTTTGATAACGTTATGATAGTTACACAACTAGAAAATCAGAAAACACAAGCATTAAATCTCACCGAAAAGTCTACGACTTAATTTTCTTTAATTCTCTTTGTTAACAATGGAGAATAGTATAGGTATAAGTAATTAAACAGTAAAATTGAAGACGAATCCCTATTGAATCATTTTATTCATGAATTAATTAAGGAATTATAGTCCAAAAATGTTTTATATCTTCTTGGAAACTACTTGACTAATACTAAACCAACATAATTGTGACTATCGTAAGGAAACTAGCTTACAAATGAAAGACGGCATCTAAATCGGACGATCCGTGTGATATTCACAGATTTTCACACAGTTTAAGATACACATTAGAACAAGTATCAGCTTGACTATCTAGATCTATTTAGATTTAATCAGAAATAATTAGCAAAATAGAAAAACTACTTTTTATGACAATATTCCGATCTTTTTTTAATGACTCAATAAAAAAATATTTTCATTATATCAAATTACTACATTTATAACAAGGCAATGACGAAAGATGTACCTACAAGAAGTCAATAAATAATTCATTACAAGATGCTCTTTTTATTTTTAATGGAAGGCATATTACTTGACAAAACATAAAGGTCTTTGTTATGCAAATATTTGTCTACTAACCAGGCTCGGTGTAAGTTGGACCTTACACAAAATATTATGGCTAAATCAAAACAAATTACTTATACAAATAGGCATATTATAACTCTATAATCAGATAAATAGAGAAAAGAGGCTTTGAATTGCATAGCAGAATTATGCAGCTTATATGCCAAAAATATGTATAAAAATGTCATAAGTATTAGAAATTTAAACATATATATTCCTTTAATTTTATAACTTAAATGAGGTAAATTATACTGATCATATGATGCTTTTTATACATAAAGTGAATTTATATACTTTTATAAATATTTCTTTTAAACAAACATATTTATTAACGTATATATGTACTTACTTATCAACCAAGTATAACACCTAAAATGGATAGTGTATTCAGTTTGGCTAACAGTAACTTTAGTGTACCGTTTGTCATAAAATGTTTCGACAATATAAGTCATTTTAAATTACTTCGAAAAAAATATACTGTATATAGGTATGATTACTTTGAGCAATTTAAATTTATTTTATCTAATTTAAGACTTAACTCACAGATAATAGAATTGTAAATATTTGGTCTTTAAACTCAAACAAGAAAGAAATCAAAATTTGTACTTTGACACAACTCACAAGTGAATGTCAAACTAATTAGCAAAACAAATTATATTTTTAGTAACTCCTTTTAATGAATGGCAAGTTTTATTTATTTGTGACAAATTTTATACCACAAAATGGAAAAAAAAGACAAAGAATTTTTAATGTTCATACATGTTAAACAAAGTATTTTTATTATTTACCAAACCAATATAAACAAATGCAATTGTTTTTCACACATAACTGTTGTAAAACTTGTAATTTCTTATATTTACATGAGTAAAATTTTTGTGACGTTTTAGTTGCACAGATAAATAACATGTAGGTTTATGATATTCTTTTATTGGTCTTTGTTTGAATACAATTGAATAGCCTTAAATAACAATAAATAATTTTATTCCATAACATCTTATCTATAAGCAGATATGCTTAAACTCCACCAAGTCATAATATTGCACCATTTCTTTATACATCATATAATTCATTAATGCTGCACGAAAATAATTGCAATATTTTAAACAAAACAATAATAATATAGCTCACAGCTATAAGACATGAAACATTAACCTATTTTTATCAGTGACAAAGTCCTTCACCAATACGAAGTAAACAAATAATAAATAATTTATAATTTTCTATCATATGTCCGTCTTCTTTGGTCGTCAATCTTCACAAGATAATATGTTCCAGGGAAGAGTATATCGATCGAACCCGATGGCTCATATGGGGCTGTGTGATAATTCTCTGTCCTAATTTGCATGGAATCCGAGAATGCTTGTGGTTCAACATTAATTCTTTTATCTAACATAGCTATATTATCATGGAGGGAATTAATGAGCTTTTCTAGTTTGGAACCAGCGCTCATATCATTGCATATATTGACAGAGTACATGGTTGATGCCAATCCAGAGCCGTATGAGAACAAGGCAAATTTCTTGCCGATTAACTGCTCCGGTGACTTGCTGATTAAGTATGAAACTAAACCACCATATAGCGAGGCAGTGTACATGTTGCCGACGTTTCTTGCAATGTAGAGAGATGGCTTAGTTTTTTCTTCAAACAGATCTTTGCTGTAAGCCATAAAAGCCTTTTCAAGTTCTCTATCAAAATATGTTTCAGATCTTTGGTGTTTGCTGAACTGTGAAAGTCCCGGGAATTGTTTTTCCCTCTCATCCTCAGCACAATTCAAGAAATCATTGAATGACACTCTGGCCAGTGATTTTTGGACGAGCTTACAGTAAGGAGAATGGAATAACATGCCATCAAGACTCAAGAGGCCTTTGAAGTCCGGGTTTACCTTTTTCATTTTATCACAAAACAAGTTATAACATTTGTCTAAAGCGTTAAGATAACACTGTATTGACAGCTTGCCATCCACATAAGGAAATTCTGATGCAAGATCCGGCTTGTAGAAATCATATGCATGAGTCATATAAGATGCACGAACACCACAGTCAAATACTAATGGTGCGTCAGGGCCAATGAGCATTGCAACTGCACCCGCACCTCCAGTCGGCCGAGCTGGGCCTTTACCATACACAGCAATGTCACCGGCCACAACAATAGCCTTCCTGCCGTCCCAAGAAGAAGATTCAACCCAATTAATAGTATTGAACAAAGCAGCCGTACCTCCGTAACAAGCATTTGTGGTGTCAATACCTTCTATATCAGTTGCACCTTCCTTAGCAAACAGTGTCATGAGAAATGTTTTCACACTTTTGCTTTTATCAATAATAGTTTCTGTACCAACCTCTAACCTTCCAATGTCATGGAGGTTTATGTTATTTTTCTCAATAAGGCGGTGCAAAGCAGTCATACAAATCGAGTTTATGTCTTCTCTATCTGAACAGAATCCCATTTTACTCTGACCTAATCCGATTGTATATTTACCAGTATCCACACCATCGAATTTTTCTAATTCTTCCTGAGCTACATATTGAGATGGAATATATATCTCCATAGCCAGAATACCAACATTTTCGACTCTATTAGCCATTTTTTTATTTATCACTATTACTTTCACGATCTCAGTTATGTCTTTAAGTCAAATATTTTATAACGTTACGAGAAACAACTGCCGCCTAGCGCGTCTCGATTCGGAATCTGTTAACTTGACTGGTTCCTTGACTCAACAACCTGAAGTCGACGTCAGTATATAACGTTACTCGCACGCAATAATCGTACCATTGACCTACTACGGAACTAACCAACTTTCTTTAACAAATAACTCTTATGCGACTCGAAGATAACCTTAGTTACGTAGATACTTGAATGGTGATACTATTTGTGACGAGCTCTTTATAGCTGGATAAAAATGCAACAATATTAAGGAATGATTTATATGAAAATTTTTCTAAATAAAAATAAATTTATATTAAAAAAGCCGCTAACAAACTTTAGGTTTAATGTCCGTCACCGGAACTGGATTTTCTCGATGACGAAATTAGTCACACTGACACGTGACATATTAGGTTACGTTGAAAAATATTTCTTGGAAACCAATTGTAAAAAGTTAAATATTTTTATTAACAAATATAAATCTGCAATAAATCTGAAGTAATACTGAAACTATAATTATTCTGAAAAGTAAAACCAAAAACAGTTATTATGACCAGTCATCATCAATAGTTCTGTATCGAAGTGAAAATATGTTACTTTTGCGAAACATAAGAAATTTTAGAGTAAGTATAAAATCAAACACTTAAACTAAATCATAAAATAGTCTCTTAAACGATGATGTGATAAAAATTAAACGACAATGAGAGAAATCATTTGCTCAAATTACTTAACGAGCTTGAGTTCTATTTGTTGACTATTTTGTCGTCACTTCAAATTCCTATCGAGCCATCAACTTTCACCTGTGTAACGGTAATGATAAACATGGTCTACTTAACTTTTACTCCTAAATAAATATTTTAGTTGTATATTGATGAAATACATTAGAATTGATTTTGTAACGAAACGTCTAACTTACCTTTGTATTACATATTATCATAGTAATAAAATAATTTATCATATTTCCTGATGATAACTGCATTATACAGTTCTGCATTACGAAGTGTAATGATGTATAAAATAAATAATTCCCTCTATACCATTATTACGTAATAATTTTGGATAAATATAAACTATTAATTATTAAATAGTCTATATCGAATTATATTCGTATACTTACTTGAAATTTAATTAATAAACGGTTGAATTGAGTATTGCTTACAATTATACATTGCATCTATAACCAATCTATTATTATCAATCAAGTCGCAATTTAATAATTACTTTATTAACTCTTTTGCATAATAATTATCATTTATGTCTGTAAGTTAATTGAAGCTATTCACAGTAATATGATTACATATAAAGTTACTAGACCAATAAAAGGTATAGAATAAAATTAATAAAAAAAATATTTATTTATATTGTAATCTTATCTATATATAAGTTATAGAAGGGCTTTCAACCTCATTTTCTTTTATTGGGATGAACTTGTAGAATCTGACGCCTGAAAATAAACCATTTTTTAATATGTATTACATTTCACATGTAATTAATATTTAAAAGATGTCATTATTTCTTACCTGATGGATTGATTCTGGTTATGAAGCGTTCTTTGGATTCAAATTTGAAATTAGGTCCATCTTTGTACAGATCCTGAAAGATTAATAGAAACATATATATGTATATTATAATCTTCATTATAATAATATTAAGCCTGATAGAAATGTATAGAGTAGCATTAAAAACTTTTTGCTATAATTTAATAGCAGGCTCTACATTAAAATTCCTATTCATTTTCAATAGCTAAAAAATTTTACATAAAGTATTTAATGTACATTTTTAATCTATACACATCGATTATTATGAATCGGCTGTTTAATTTGAAACTTTTAAATAATTATGCTTCAATTGTGGAAATGACTTCGGTAGTATTAAAAATAAACATGATTTCTTCCTTCAGAGCATTCCTTGTATTGTATACCTTTAAATATGTGTGTGTGTGTGTATGTATGTGTGTGTGTGTACGTATGTATGTATGTTACCTGTATATGATAGGTCGTTTTTGGTATTTTCATATCCTCAGTTGTAACTTCAATAGTGTGAGGTGCTCCATCATCTCTTTTACTGACGAACGCTACCGCTATACCGTCCACTACTTCGCGAGTCCAGATCTTAAAATCATAATAATATCTTATCAGTGCTTAGTTTTAAACTTGGATTATGGATAACTTCATATTTATTTCTATTCACTTAAATCACTTCAGGAATAATCATTAAGTTTCTTTAAGGTTCATTAATAATTTTAAAATGGAAGCGTAAAGACTAACAAGCAGTCACACATATAAACTTCGTTTATTATATTAGTATATCTACCTCGCATTTCTCTTTACTCCACACCATAAACCCTTGCTTGCCCATTTCATCTTGATCTATGGCTATGATGTCTTTGTTAAGCAACACATCCTTAAACTCCGGTCGGATGGTGGCCAAGTCTACACTCATGAGCAACGGAGCGGCCAGTATTGACCACACGGCCATCTGAACCCTCGCTTGGTCCAGTGATAAACCGAAATTACCTATGAGCAACTGGCCGTAAAGAAAAAATGATTTTATTAAACAATTTTATTTTAAAAAAAAGTTTTTTTTTGTATACTTTATAAAACGTATCTATGTTTAAGTTAAAGAATAAGTATAATATTTTGTGAAAGTATGAGTTTTGAAATAAGTCAAAGCTACTCAATATTTTTCGACTTAAAAGAATACGTCAATCCAAAATTTTTAAAAAAGGTATCTATGGCTGGAATCAATATTAAATAAATAAATTCATTACCATATCCGGGTCATTCCATCTCCCGGGTCCAGCGTATTTGGCTATTTCTTCCTGTTTTTCAGCGAACCAACCCATGATCTTTGTGAGTGAAGCCCACGAGTCCTGGATATCGTCCCAGTTACGCCACATGTTACAATGCTTCGATATAGATGCATAATCAGGCTGGCACAAAACAATACTTATTAGTAATTAGCATTTCAAATTTAGAATATTTTAATATATTTTTTAATTTTATTTAATTAGTTATAAAAACTCTTGCAATTTCAATTGAAGAATCGTATTCTATATTCAAAATTGCTCATGCTTGTTAAAATTGTATGCATTATTGCAGTTATAAAAATATGAATTTCAATTCATGTGTATTGTTTGGTTAAAAAATGGTATTTAATTCAATTCAACTAAAAAAATATATCAAAATATAGCGGGTAACGTTGCTAGTTTTACTATTTAAATATAGAATTTTAGCCAACATTCATTAATACGATAATTTATCCTATATATTATGTGTACTACATATATATAATAAATAAGTATATACTTTCTCTTGATACGCTGGCCAGCTGCACGAGTATACCATGGGCCGACCGCTTTCATTCATCAATTTTCCAAATTCCGGATAACCTGCAAAATATTTAAATTTGTTTTTTTATAATGAAATAATATTATAATAATATAATAATTGCAACACCGCTAATTGGTGAATTTATTTATTAATACTGGCAATAATTTTTTAATTCGCCAGACTAGTGCTTGACCATTGGCTTAGGAAATTTGAGAAACGATTGCTTTTAGTCTTAATACTTTTTTTTTTGTAAGAATGACTTATGACAGCGAACATTCTAAAATTATGTATCTTTTTAATTCAAATTAATGTACGAACTTCATTAAAAAAAATCATTCTCACCGGTGTCCATCTTGGAAACGTTAACATTACATCCGTCTAGTTTAATATAATCAACTTCCCATTCAGCAAAGGTCTGAACATCGACAGCCTCATGTCCGAGTACCCCGGGGTAACCAGCGCAGGTTTTTGTACCGTAATCCTGGTATAACGCGAATTTCAAACCGAGCTCGTGCAACTGAAATTAAATATAATATTATCATACAAAAATATTCACATAATATTATTAAAAGATTGGATTAATCTATAAATTGAATTTAATGAAAAACATGTCATACTTGTATTATTTTACTATTCCTTTCATTAACACAAATTTTCTTATGGTGAGTAAAAAAATCCTTCGCTTTTTTTTATGGTTTATCCTACTAATATGTATTATAATTGCGAAAGTTTGTGAGTGTGTGTGTATGTTTGTTACTTCTTCACACTCAAACGGGTGACACGATTTTGATAAAATTTTGTATACACGAAGCGTACATCCAGGAATAACACATAGGCTACTTTACATCCCGGAAATACGAATAACGCGGGTAGTAATAATAAAATTCTTAAATTATTAACACTTACATAATCTGCGATAGCTTTCATACCGTTCGGAAACCTTTTCCTATCGGGTACTAAACGTCCGTTAGCGTCACGTGATCTCTCGAGCCAACAGTCATCTATGCCTACATATTTGTACCCGACGTGTGAATAACCTTCGTTGACCATAATATTTGCTATACGTTTGATGAGAGATTCACTGAAACGATTAACAATTCATAAAAAAAAATTCTCTATAATTATATTGATTTTTACCTAGATAATATGTTTTTCGGAAAGAATTCTTGTTCGATTTCACATAAATAGTGCCTTGTAGTGTTCATATTGCAACACCTAATATTATATTACGAAAAAAACAATATAAATATGGATTATTTTACGGTTGATGTTAAGTGGGTTTACTGATTTATAAAGATTAATTTTCTTTCCAATATTTGTAACATGTATTGTCAAATATAAATAAAATTATAATTAGTTTTTTAAATAAGTTATAAAAATGATATATGTATGCAAGCGCCTGTAATAATATAAAAGCAATGTAGTATTTCAATAACATTGCATTAATATTACGATACCTTATACATTCATTTGGATATTTTTCGCAATCTGTTATACATCTGAATCGTTGCCAGGTCAACCACCCCATCGGCGGAGTCAGCGCTAGGCCATTATCGAGAGCCAAAACATATGGTATTAATGCGAAAATGGCGGTCAAATGAATTCCCATACTTCCTAGAAATTAATTTGAGTTAATTCATAATTAAGTAAACTTTGTGTCTATAAATTTTATTCAAAAAATTAAAAACATAGTTTGATCAAGTTAAATGAAAATCTAATAATAATTTATTATCAACTGTTTAGAAATTCTCAATAGATTTTAATGTCAAAATTTTAAGTAGCGTTATTAAAAAAATTACTTCCCTTTTGCTTTAAATCACAGAATGAGGTCCCGCCCACAATAATAAAGTAATACTTTTGTCATAACAATAATAATTAAAAACCTAACTGTCTAGAATACATAATCGTGATTCGTGACTACACTTGACAAAGTTATCTTCATAATGACTTATATTTTTAAAGAAAACATAAAAAATCATATAGACTATCTTACAAATAGTACTATACATTCTTATTTATAAGAAATATTATACTCGTACTTACCCTTGTACACAAAACAGTTACAAAATCAAGAATCAGCGACTATTAACAAATTCTTTAATATTTATTATCTTTGTTTAGACTATATATATTATTTTATTAGCACAGGCGTTGAACTATTGTATACCGATAAAACTAAAATGAAAACAATTTCGCCCCGCATGCAATTATCTAAAATATTTTCAATGTTTACTAGCTTAGAACGTGGTGTTGTCCGTGTCTTCGTAAATATTAAGGTTGAAATAAATCTTTAGTTATACGTAATTAATATAGATAATTAATTAATTATAAATATATATTAAGCACCTAATTACTTGATTACCTGAGAATTACGTAAATGCAAAGAAGTTTTGGTAAAAATATAAAATGTGTCAAATACTTATTTAAGTAAATATACAGTTTTAGGTTATTATAGTCATAATAATTCTTATGCAGTTTATAAAAAATTGTTTCCTGCTTTCAAAAAAACTGTGGTATGTTTTATAAAACAAAGATGCTATTGAAACTTTTTAGTTCGAGGGCATTTTATATTGAATTTCTAATTAATAGATTGCTATATAATTATTTAAAGGTGGGTTTTATAATTAGAAATGTAGAGTTGACTAAAGATACCGATTTAAGCATATTAATTTAAATCTGTTTTAGAAGAAGAAATATAGAATTATTCATATGATACATACTTAATATAAACTGTGGATAGTATATTAATTAAATCTATGATCAAAATTTAAATACCACGGAGCATATTTAAAGATAAATAAGAATATAAGTTACTTAATCAGCTGTTACGAGTCGAGCCGAACTCTGCCGAACTAATTTCATTTTATCTCTATTCGCACTATAATTCAACATGCGATAGATAGATGAAAATAATAAATGTTACAGAAAAAGCATTTTATTTAGAAAAATAATTTACCTATATGTTTTCTTGATGACGTTGTTTTGTATACAAATATGCAGTCGTAAAAATAAATTCCGTTGAGTAATATGAATACATAAAGTATTTAAAACATTGCAAAACAATTCCTCTATCCATACTAATTGATAATTTGGAATAGAATAAATATTTTGTGTATTAAATTAAAATATATTTACAAATTTTTTTTAATACGACAACATAATAAAAACGAATGCGATTTTTATTTTCGATTTCAACATCAACGTAACTATCTATTAAATTTAATTAAATAGATACAAAACAAATATCATGTCATGCGCTCTAATTAGTGCTTTTAATATAAATTTGATATCTTTTAAATTTATCGAGGTTCCAAAGATTTAAAAAAATTATTTAAAAAAAGTCTAAAAATATTTAACAATGAATAGACCGTTCGCCATTTTGTATTTAGAGTTTACCCTATTTTTATATTTCATAACGTTTTGCGAAACAATCAAATATTGTTATTTCATCACCAAAGTAAACGAAATGTCAAAATTTTGTTGCAATCTGTAGCTTATAAATTCATTTAAAATGAATCCCCACCATAAAAAAATTATAATATAAAATTTTACTCAAAAATAAAATTTTGTGAATAAATTGGACTTTACATATTACTTAGTAAAAACGAAAATGCTTAAGATTTTTCCCATATGTGTATAATAAATCTTATAAATTTAGTTTTTTGTTAAGTTTGTAAAATTTTTGCATATATGTTATAGTATATGCGTTTTTATAACTTGACTCGAGGAAAATACATCGTAAACACAAATATTATAATAATAAAACAATTTGTTACGAAATCTGATTAGTTCATTTAATAATTTTTGATTTCAATAAAAGAGATACTAAAGGAAATATTATTTTTATTTTGTTTAACAATTTAGTTTCAACAGGATCGATATAGATAAAATATGTACTTTATATATATATATATAAAGTATAGATTTTTTTATCACACATTTGAAGTAATTTTTCAAGGACAGATAATATTTCACTTAAAATTAAAAAAAAGAACGACATTAAAAAAGAGCGACTGTCATTCAATATCCTCTAATAAATGCCGAACATTACACCGGAAGGCGTCGCGGACACGAACTGCTAAGTTAATGAATTATTCTGATCATAGACCTAACTTTTATTACATTATTAAAGCTAAGCATATAACTTACGTAATAATCAAAAGCTTTAACAAAACAAGGAAATTAAAAAGCAGTAGTATACCTTTTTCATTTTCAATTTTGTGGTCAGAATTGAGTAAAATACGCTACATATTTATCTGGGCCTTCTTCTATATCATGATTTATATAAAACGTTTAAGATACCAATAACTTAAGGAGGTAATATTCATATAATGCTGCTTGTTAAACCCTTAAAGGTACTTGATTATCCAATTAAATACTTTTGATATACATACCGTTCTTCCTACACACTAATAAAATGTTTCTTCTAACGTCTGCTAGTGGGTTGTGGTCAGTTGCAATTCAAACTTCCAACTTCATAGATCTAAGTCCTATTAAATTGAACTTTGAAGGGCATTGTTACTTCATTAAGAAAAAAAGTAAGAACCAGTATTTTTTTGTTCCATTTTACATAATGATAACCTTTCAAATTCATTGTTCTAATTCTGTAAGGATATGTTACTATAGTCGTTTTTATAAACAAAATTATTAAAAAAAAATCTTTGAACTTCGAATGTTGTGCTATATCTATAAGATATTGTCTTTTAATTAAATTCTAAAATGTTTGTTTATAAAGTCATACGTGAAACGGAACGGAGCTGTCTACAAAAACGTAAACAAAGAAATGCTTTGCGTGACGGTCCAGTGACGTTAATTTAAACATACAGAAAAACAAACGAATGAAAATGTGAACATACAGTGTTTCCTATAATAAATATATATGATTTTATTTCCTTAGGTTATACTCGAAAAACTAAGTATATTGAAAAATTAATCTAAAAATAAAGGTGATATCGCGACAGGAAATCCCGCAGGAAATGAAGACCTACAAGTAGCAAGCTCTCAGACTTTCAATATAGTCGGCTTTCGCGAATACAATGGATACGACGTTTAAAGAGTTATTCAAACTTTACGATATTATACAAAACGACGATACGAGGTATTATTATCAAAAATTAAAAAATAATTATTAGATTAGATTTGAAATTTAGTTCAATGTCGATTAAATTATTTCAGATCGGTCGAAAGGTTTTTAAATACGCAGAAAGTAAACATTAACTTAGTTTTACCCTGTAAAGGTATTGGAGTGTTACATTTAGCTGTAGGTATAGACCCTTTGGAAAAATCTAGAAATTGCACAGAATTATTATTGAAGCATGGTGGCGATCCTAATCTAAGGTAATTATTATCTATAAAATAATTTCAAATATAACATTTTATCATTATTTTTTTTTCATCACCATTAAAAAATCGTGTTCAAAATTTTTATGCCACTTAAATATATTATTAAATAACCAAGACAGAAATAACAAACAATATAAGTATAATACTTTTTTGTGCATCAAATACTCCAATTTCCATTATGATGGCACATTTCAAAGTATAGTTTATTACATAACCATATAATTCCTCAGTAATGACGATGGTATAACCCCAGTCCACATAGCAGCGATATGGGGTAGAGTGGATAATTTGAAGCTACTCATCGGCTGCGGTGGAGACCCTTCAAGACGTGACCTAGACGGCATCTCAGCATTTGATTACGCTGTTAGAGAACAACAGTGGGATGTTTACGATTACTTGCATAATGTTATCGACGAAAGTGATTCCACCGATGCTATTGAAACGGAATGTGCATACAATCTTAATATCGGTGAGTACTATAAAACATAATTATAATCTATGTATATATATTACCAATTCATTTATATGCAAACTTATTTTCAAGCTTATAGTTGATAGTAATAACTATATCTTTCATTTGAATTTTTAAAATTAGAATATAGAATTTAACAAATTGATATTATATAAATTATTTTACATAAGTTTAAATAAATATCCTATTTATATAGAAACAGTAATATTATGGTGAGATTTTCATTATTACACAACACTTAGAAGCTTTGTATTCATTGAGAGTTTATGAGTCAGAACATAAAACTTGCGGGATGACTCATAGTCTCACACTGTTTTTGGGATAAAACCTGCATTACACAACTTTACGTAAAAATTCTTATCTTGTTTATATATAGATATGCATATATATATGCTTAGAAATGTTTTTATAATGACTTTTTGAATATAAAATTATAATAAAATGATGTATGGCTATATACATATATAGAAATATATATTGTATGTCAAAGATTTATCCTTATTGACTTATTTTTAGTTAAATATGTATCATATACACATGAGTGGAAAGAATAGAATCAAATCACGTGTAAAATACTTTTCAAAGGAACTGTATTTATAATAAGTGGTAACCGATCCATTATTGATAATGGAAACAAGTGAAAAATAAAAATAATTTTAATTTTACTTTAAATTCTGATCTCGAAATTTAAAGTTAAATTATATTATCGGCACCATAAATCAAAGACGTGATATACCTTGAATTTCAAAACCATGTTATAATACCGTGAAATATACGATGAAAAAAGGTCGAAAATTATGTTATATTTCCTATGAAAATTTCATTAAATATTTGAAATATTCACACAAACGAATCATTGGTCGAAAGCTTATATAAGTGGGATGGATAATGGAAACATACTTATACATCGTTCAGACGAATCTTGCAATTAGTATTAATAATGGGACAAAGGTGAATGAGTAATTTATGCAATTTAAAATCCGTACAGTTCTAATTGCTTTAACCAATCCCTTGTTATACTTAAATATGAAACATCTGCTACTCGAAGAACATCTTGCATCTTGCGAGCTAGTTTTGTGTGCAGGTGCACGTCTTATTACATTCTGCGGTCACGATACTTGTTTGAAGATCATTTGTCTTAACATATTATATTTTATGTTACGTATTTTATTGAAGCTTTTATATATTGATGGTGATAACTTATAGATATCATTGAATAATAATCCCTATTATCCCTACTAATATTATAAATGCGAAATTCTGTCTGTTATGCTTTCACGCCTAAACCACTGAACTGATTTTAATGAAATATGGTACAGAGATAGATTGGACCTTGAGAAAGAATATAGGATAGTTTTTATCTAAGACTTTTGAAAGGTTCTCTTTTAAAAGTGATATAACCGAACTCCCTGCGGGCGAAGCTGCGGGCGGAAAGCTACTTGTCTATAAAATAAATAGGTTTTAAAAATCATTTTAAGGTGTAAATAAAAATGAAATTATTTCTACGAGCCCGACAATAAATCTTTTCTATTCTTTAAATTATATTTGCAACATTTAAAACAGTATTATAATTTAAGACAGGATGTACCGGTATCTATAAATCTTAAAAGGACGGACAAAATTGTTGTTCAATTAATTATAATAATCTTAGCCATCACATAATAAAAACAAAGTCTAGACTGAACTATGAATTTCATTATAATTTTAAGTTTTACGTAAAAATATACCTAATTTTTACGCTTGAAAAATGCTATTTTTTTTAAATTTCATATTTATCAACAATGTTGCATATTCAGTATTTATTATGAATCTAAAATATTTTTACGTTTATAGATAAATAGATTTTTTTAAACGACGTCATAGAAATAATTAAATATTAAAATAGACTTAATTTTATCTAAGTAATGATTTACACGAGGTTAAACTATCATGTATTATTAAATCATGATACGGTAATTGAATCTGGTAGAAGGGTGCCATAGGTGGGTAGTGCGCGGGCGTCGACCTCCCTATTAGTACCCATTACAGAGGTCAAATAAGATAGTTTAAATTAACATCGATTTATTTTATTATTGCTTAATATAGATTGATTTATACACGAGTAGGTGGTTTGAGAAATTATGTTGCACGTAGGTGTTTAAATCGAAACCAAAGAAACTTCTTTAAAATATTATATTTATGTAATGCAATATTTTTAAATCCGCCTCCGCTTTAGCCTACATATGTTAAAGGAAGTCGTAACTGTGTAAAACGGGTCTAACTACTTTATTTTATATAATAAATTTTGAGATTCAATTTAAACTTTAAGGATAGAAATTAATGAGAAGCAACTGCGTTTGTTATAAAAAAAAACGACGCGCGAGCGAAACGTGTTAGTGCAGAATAAAAAATGTTTTGCGCATCTGTCTTTAGTACGTTTTGGACGTACGTAATGAAATTGAAAGTAAATGGAAATTAAATGGCATTGGAAATAAATAGAATTTGGAAGGATTTAAAATTAGACGATTTTTTTTCCTAATTGTCAATTGTTGTCAAACGTGAAACTGTTGGTTTTTAAGTAGACGTCGAGAACTCGTACTAACAGAACTTTTACGAATAGGATCGTGTGCGTGCGAATCGTGTACAGTAATGATAGTTAAAATTATCTATAGCTGCGTTTAGATTAACTTTAAAATAATATTATTTGAATATAAGTACAGTTAACGCACGATTTTGTTATATGTACCTAAAGTTTGGTTCCACAAAAGTCTACACTTAATTATTTAGAGTCATGTATTGATATGTATTTATAATGACTTTTTCGATTTTGAAATAATACCCATTTACCCCTTCGTATAAGTTAATAATAATTATACAGGGTGACTGTTGAAATACTATCGATACTTGAGGACGTGATATTTGACGATCATATATGACAAAATAAAAATTAATATAACATAAATATAAATAAACTTTTAAGTGAAGTTAACCAAAAGTTGTGTATTTAATTACGCATCGTGTGAACACCCTACACATTAGGTATACACTCACACTCACACATACGCGAGCGGGGCGTGGTGTTGTATCAGCACGCCGCCGCACGCGTCCACACTTGGAACACTTGGAACGTGTCAACACTTTATTTATTTATACGGAAATTTTGTCAAAAATTAAGTGCCTATTTTTTTTACATAATTCGAATGAGAATCATGTACCGAGTATTCTCCTTAAATATTGATAGTAATTCACCAGTCACCCTGTATATCTGCTAGAATATTCTTATATTGGTGTTGTTTTCCTCTCTCCGGTTGAAATAAAATAAATGTTGTTAGGGAAAACCGATGCTAATTAAATTTAATCAATAAAACCGAGGTACGTCTATAACTTTAACAAAATTAAGCATTAGTTTAGTTCTAGGTAAGGAGAATACTTATTTTCATATCAAATCATTTTACTGTTTTATTCCATTGGAATTTAAACGAATGTACAGGATAGCATGTTTGCGGTAATTGCTTCTCATCATAGCCAGGATACAAACTTGATTGCTTCCTTGAGAAGTCTGCACGAACAATCATTTGTGCTTTCATACAACTTAACTGTAATCTGCACGAACTACAAATTGTTGTATCGACCTGGGGTTCTACTAAAGAAATGTTCAATTATACCAAATAACATTGGAATTTTCTTTCTTTATATTTTCTTCTTAACTTAAATATTCAATATATTTTCTTTTTAACTATCGAAACCATATTAAAATATTTTGTCCGTATAAATATTTATGAGTTCTGATCAAAATAATACAATGTCATTATTTCCTTGAAAATCTTTGCCGAAAGTGTGCCTCATTTTTTAACAAAAAGTGTTCCATAAACTATAATTAATTTTCCAGCACGGGTCTTAGTTACAACAGATCAAATGGTAGCTGAATATGAGCCACTCCAAGACAACCAGGCACATATAATCAGTAGGAAGTCTGATACTATCAGAGATTGGTTGGATAGAAACAGCTTGGTCATAAATAAACTATATCCCACTATACATGGGGACACGTATCTTATAGAAGACGAATCAGTACCATGGACTGACGAAACCAATACTACTTTCATGACATGTTGTTCAAAACGCGAAGTAGAAATAACTGGAGTACATCCCTTGGAACTAACTTCTGATAAAAGCAAGTTCTCCAATGAGAGCAAACAAAGAGCTAGCGTGTACGAAAACTTTTCGCTCCCAGGGTCACCTAGCTGTATCACGCATAGGAACTATAACAACAAAACCAGCCTCAGGAAAGGGAATTCCAAGGAACTGATCGCTACCAACCAATTGACATTAGACAGTCATATAACTGATGATGATTCTCAAAGTGATCTGGACAAAGCGATGATGATGGTCCAGAATAGAACAAATGAATGGTTGTGCGGTGATAGGAACAGGAATACAAGGCGATCATCAGCCAGTAGCGGTGTTAGCAGCACTCCGTCTGGTAACATAGTGCTGGCTAATGTCCACGAGGAATATAAATACGAAGACCCTGACGAAGACGTCGTTCTCATAGAAAGAAGACTACAAGTATCCTCGATCGTGTAAGTTAACCAACATAAATTGACCTATACGTTAATATCAGGATTAAATTAAGTCTAGTCTAGTCAAAAAAGTCTAAAAACTACAAAGTCTAAGTAAAAGTATATATAGTACAAAAATACATTGAAAAATAGGCCTCATTATTGGAGCTTTGTTTAAACCTAAACTTCTATCAGTCTGTTTCTATACCATACTAATACATAAGTTAATTTATTAAGTATACTAATATAATTTTCTTCTATTTCCCCAGACTGCCTGTAGACGAAGGGTCAGATGCTGATCAAACGGTACATTCAATAGCGTCTTCTTTGCCATTTTCCGTTTCCTACGACAACGAGGCTCTTAGATCCGAACTCATACGCCTCGGAGTTACACCGGGTCCCATACAGAATACAACAAGAACGCTATATTTGAAGAAACTCCACGCCTTAAAAGCGAATCCTATTATCGCTGAGCATCAAGAAACTGGTAAAAGTAGGTATAATTTGTTACTAAAGAGATCGCAATACATTTTAAATATTTCATCCTACTGTCAAATTATATGATAAACAGTTTTGTCTTAGTTCGTCAAAATTGGTAGTATTTTTATATAATGAAATTTAAAATATCAACTTTCATAAACAAAATATTACAAAGGGGTTAGTGATTATTTAAGACCTTATAGTAGATTAAATTAAAAGATTTCTTGTAAATTGTACTGAGTTATATTTACAATAATTTGCAATACTTCTTAACAAACTTTTTTTGTTTTTACAGCTTACAGTGTAGAACTAACAAAATCTCTCCGCAACGATAATTGGTTACAAAATTTGTCTCCATACATCAATATACAGACAAAAGTGCAGTCAGATTTTGAGAATCCTAAGAAAATTTGGAGGGAAGGAAACGCGAAAACGTCATTCACATATTTGCTACTAGATCCACGAATCACAGGAAACTTGCCAGCCAGAGCTAACAGCCAAACCCATCAAGTATCTTGGACTACATTCATTAATTCAATCTTCTATATTGGTAAAGGTAAGGAATAAATTAATACTTTTCAAATAATTATTATAATACAACTGATACAAATTTTATTTATCATACAAATATATTCATTTGAGAATACACTTTTAATTCCATTGTCAATATAGGATAATCACAAAATAATATTTAAATTGTGTATTAGTTAGAATTATTATAATCCATCAAGTATATTTTCATTTACTTTTATACTTAAAATAACTGAACTAGTTAATCTAACACAAGAAAATAAGTAAATAATTTAACTTAATCACTTCTTCTTCTTCTACCTGGCAATTTCCCAGCTTAAGCCAGGGTCTGGCTTACATGTTGTGAATAGTTTTGGCTAATCGTTTTTACTACCGGCCGTCTGACTGACATCAACAATCTTTGGGAATAATTTAACATAATCACTATATAAGATAAATAAAACGAAAATCCATTTTTATTATTTTAGGTAAACGTTCAAGACCATACGCCCATTTATACCAAGCGCTGACACCATGGAAACACAATATAAGGAAATCAAGCAAACAGAAAGTTCAACATATACTGGACATATGGTCGGACGGTTTGGGTGTTATATGTCTGCATGTGTTCCAAAACATTATACCAGCCGAGGCATACACATATGAGGCTGCAATGATTGATGTCATCGGACTAAATAATCTTAAGAATGAGAAAATCGGTAATTACTATGGTGTAGCCGAACAATTGACTAGGAAGGAGAGACGGATGCTTGGACTATATTTATTATATAAAGCATTGAATATTTATATTAACGAAGGTGAAAGACAACTCAGACCGGATAATGTTAAGGGAGACTGATATATTAATATCATAATTTTTATATTTTAATATATTTAATGCTTCAGACATGAAATCTTGCCAAATGCTACCCTCTGTACCTTATAAGAAATAGCCAAAGACAATATAACTTTTTGACTGAACATATGTCGTCAATTTTAATTTGACTATCAGTATTTTTTAATATTTTTATTGCTATTTATATAACATTGCTCCTTAAGCTTAAATTATATAGTTTGTAATTATTTGTATGACTTGTATTAAGTTACCAATGTTTAAATTATGACTTTGTAATGTAAGATCTCAAAATTGTATTTTAATACTTAATTTACTCCGATTTTTTGTACGTTTCATATATTTTGCTAGTCATTTAATATATACGCATAGTTAATGATGGCAATGACATTATGAAATAAAAGACTACTTAAGAGTACTGCTTTTTTATTTTTTTCTATTAATATAATGTTACTAGTAACAAATAATTAAAAAAAAATCATACCTAATACTGACACTTCAGAAGTGTCGTTCCCATCAACATAGTATACTAATGGACGTGCTTTAGAAATGAGATTTGTGTGCGTAGATAATAATTTAAATAATGAACTCGCTGATACTAAATTCACTAATATATAATTTTAAGCAAAGTATAAAATAAGCGTCCATATTTTTCTATGCCATGGCTTCTTTTACATTGAAATTGGGTAATATTTTAATATTTTGTCATTGTCAGTGTATACTATTGTTTTTTATTCTTTAGTCATTGTTCCAAAGTTGTCAACTGTCACTGTTAAAATGACAATGACTTATTATACGACACACATAGACTAAATATCTACACATCTTACATTTTCTAAAATAGAATCTTTATAATTTAATTTTAACTTGAGTAACTCCAAAAACTGATTTAAGGTACTCAGTACATATATATGTGTTTGATAAATTAAGTGGTTAGGTTAGTAATGAACTTTTGTAAATTGTATGTTCCTTATTATTGCACTTGATTTTTTTTAGTTACTTGAATAAAAATTCAGTTAACAGTTTACTTTGAAATATCCTGTAACCCTCGCTCTACTAACTCATGATGTGATATTAAAATGGTTGCGCCGAATGTGTCATAGTCTGTGGTAATATTAATTTAATATTATATCTATACTAATATTATAAAGCTGAAGAGTTTGTTTGTTTGTTTGTTTGTTTGAAAGCGCTAATCTCCGAAACTACTGGTTCGAATTGAATAATTCTTTTTGTGTTGGATAGTCTCGAATCGAGGAAGGCTGTGGGCTATATAACATCACGCTATGACCAATAGGAGCAAAGATATAGTGGTAAATGTGTAAAAAACGGGAGAAATTATTTCATCTTTGAAGCCTTCCGTTACGTGCGCCGTGAAAACGGTTCAAGATACACAAAAAATATGTATTAAAGAATAATAGCTCTTTTAATGATCTAAAAAACAGTCCGCGACAGTATATGTCTATCTTTTAAGATTAACTCACAAAAACCGTTTTATGGTACCTAATTTGGTCGAAATAATTTGTTTAAGTTGTATCAACATAATGATATTAATCTTTATTCAAATAAACAAATCTTTATTCAAATAAACAAATAAATATGTTGTTGGTTAAGAGTACTTCATTGTGAAAAAAAAACAGGTTTTATCCTGAAAATTCTACGGAAACTCGACCATTCCGAAAACCCCGCAAGAAAGGGAACTATGTGGGAAGAACCAACAATCTGCGGGAAGTCACTATTCCACGCGGACGGAGTCGCAGCAAAAGCTAGTTTAGTATAAAGTTTTTGCTTCTGTAACTATTGGGTCTTATTATTTTAATATTGGCTGCTATTTAGATATAATGAAGTATTAAGATATGAGAGACGGATATGTTAACACGTACGTTTACAGTTCTCGACGATACACTCCGTACCCAGTTACATACGTAATTTTCAAAACTGAATATATATTTTTTTCTTATCATATTTAACACGTCTAACATTTAACACGTCCTATAAAAAGTCACTAACCATATAATATATTTTCGTACTTTTCTCACATTGTGTATTAAAAGGTAATAGGTTTATTTCAAACTAATAGTTGCTCGCTCGTTTCTCATTTTGGTCTCGAAATGAATTTCATTAAAAAAAAGAGCTTTTAACAAAAAAAAAAAAAACAAACATTTAATATACGATTTATTTCCAGAAGTGTGTTCTAAATATAGGTCGACATTTCACAGGAGTATAAATTTCGGAATAATTTGATAGCAAATCTATACTAATATTATAAAGCTGAAGAGTTTGTTTGTTTGTTTGTTTGTTTGTTTGAAAGCGCTAATCTCCGAAACTACTGGTTCGAATTGAATAATTCTCTTTGTGTTGGATAGTCCAGTTATCGAGGAAGGCTGTGGGCTATATAACATCACGCTACGACCAATAGGAGCAAAGATATAGTGGTAAATGTGTAAAAAACGGGAGAAATTATTTCATCTTTGAAGCCTTCCGTTGCGTGCGCCGTGAAAACCGTTCAAGATACACAAAAAATATGTATTAAAGAATAATAGCTCTTTTAATGATCTAAAAAACAGTCCGTGACAGTATATGTCTATCTTTTAAGATTAACTCACAAAACCCGTTTTTATGGTAATTAATTTGGTCGAAATAATTTGTTTAAGTTGTATCAACATAATACATATTAATCTTTATTCAAATAAACAAATAAATACGTTGTTGGTTAAGAGTACTTCATTGTGAATAAAAAAAACATAGGTTTTATCCTGAAAATTCTACGGGAACTCGACAATTCCGAAAACCACGCAAGAACGGGAACTATGTGGGAAGAACCAAAAATCTGCCGGAAGTCACTATTCCACGCGGACGCAGTCGCGGCAAAAGCTAGTCATAAATAAAAAGGAGTGATATTGATAACTGTCAAAAGCTACATTACACGAGAAACATTGCTTTTAATTTTCAAAGCACAAGTTCCTCGCTATATCGAGTACTGTTTACATCTTTGGTTCTGAGGCCCTCAATATCACTTCCAATGACTAGATTCCATACAATGCCAGATAGGACTTATAGAAGGGTTCATTAAACAGATGACCTAAAACCCGTGGAGTCTCAAAGGGATGTTTCTTTTCTATGTTTTTTAGTCTGATTAATGGCCAATATTCAAAGTAATTATTTGATAAAGTGCTAAGGATGGATCTCGTCGCTAGTTTGAATGTCATTCGTATCATATGGCAGAAATTGTTTTAAGACTGTGCGTATTCATGCCGTATTGTTGCAATACATGTTTAGGCTGTAATTCGCCCTAAGATTTTTCTGACAGTTACATTATGTTACCTACTACCTTTCAAAAGTTTAGTGCCAACATGAAAAAGGAAGGCAAAAAATACTAAATTCCTTTTAAGATGCTAATAGCGAGGTGACTACATATAAAAACTGGTTTGACACCTTTTTGAAAAATAAATAAATCATATACTTCGTTTTAAAATTGAATTTCATCCTTAATTATGTAAAATGAATTAAAAGATAAAAGCGAATTTAAAACCTGTTAATGATATAAATATGAAAAATGGCTATATTTTTTTTTGCAGGCGTTCGTCGATTCGATGATATCTAAAGCTGAACGAACAGTATTAATTATTATTATTAACACAAGTTTGCATCGAGACACTGGATACGTAACATTTTAAGTTTATTATATATTAACTTACTTTGATACTACAACGTGTAAGTTAAATAAATAAAAAACTAGGAATATGACGGTGTAAACTTGTATTAAGGGTATTAGTGTTTAAATTCGTCCACTTTTTTCAATCCATTTTTTCGGCTCTTTCGAATTATACAGAATAAGCAGATTGACAAAGTTTTTATAAAAATCTTTTCTTTGTTATAGCTGTTCCAAAACATTCAAACATAAACACATTTGTTTTTAGATTCTGACATAAAATTGGGATATTGCCAAATTGATTACTTTGTTTACGAGAAATTGTAGTATTTTTTTGTGTTTTTCCAATTTAATGAATCATTTGTTTTCGAGCCATCCATTTCATCTTTTGTGTCTCGGCGTTTTACATAATACAAAATTTAAATTTGAAATATCACTTTATTTTGCGACTATGCGCCGTAGATACTTAAAAAGATATATTTGATTTTATATTTCCGTAATGGAGATTTTACTCGCTATATCAAATTTTTCGATATTCGGAGATTCAAGTTAATAATAAAGAATCAGATGTCTTAGGAAGCTAGAAGATAAAACAAAGAGACGAGTAAATTACTTTAGTCCGGTTCTTTTTTCATGAAAAGCAAACATTAGATTTCATAACTGTCGGTCACTTAATACATATCTTCCTAAGTAAATAAGGGTTATTAAAATTAAATTTTTATTTATTAGAAAAAAAAGGCTGTATGCCTATAAGTGTGTAGATTAAATTGGTGTATACTTCGACTTGGACTCATCGGGAATATATTTTTATAAAATGCTCGATTTTTTAAAATTATTCTTCGAATTTCAAAAGATTGCTTTATTACTTAAAATCATAATATTTACATTTATTATAATTTCGTCATAAAAATGGTAAAACAAAATTCGTTTCTGATTTCAAATAAATAAATTCAACAAACACTCAAGCTACATCTCAATGAATGCGATCATTGTGAAATGTGAAGTAATAAAAATGTCACATTTGGTATAAAAATAAAAAGCTTTCTTATATCTTTTTATGAATAAACTTTTCTTTATACATGGACATTTTCAAATCAAACAATAGTAACTTCGACAGATATGAATAAGTATTTGATTCATTCGCTAATAGGTGAACGGTTATCTCTTAGCCCCGACACAACGAAGTAACCGTAAAAATAAACACAATTGCAATTTAGCATTTTGTTTATTTATGAGTCCTCATTGATATCTGGGTTAGGTCCATCGGATCCTGTACTAACGGTATTCTATGCACAATGTTTGTAAAGCTTTCTTTTGGCTCGAGTACAAGCCATTCTCATCCGTCAAGCTACGTGAC